GAAAGTGCCAGCTGCAGCTGCAGCTTCGGTGCAGCGAGTTTCACTCCCAGTTTGCACCAAAAGGAATGGACGTACAAAACAATATGATCAATTAGTTGATTGACCGTGTATATATGAATATATATATATATACACAAATATTCAACTGCAAAGATTATATAATATGTATATGTATAATATATGTATATGTATACATACATGTATATATATATATATATATATACGTATGTAAAACACATATGTTCATGGCCAGCCCAAGTGGATGATCCGCAGTCACGTATCCTCCATGTTTGTTGTACCATCTGTTCATCCCAAGTTGTGGCCGGCTGAAATCCAGTTGTTGATCATCATTTTCCTGATTACCCTCTGGTAAACATACAAAAAGCTATAGGAAATCACCATTTATCATGGGTAAATCAACTATAAATGATCATTTTCAATAGCTATGTGACAAACTACCAGAGGGTAACATCACCATTTTACGGGTACAATTGGTATAATCATCACACTATCGTACATCCCACTTTCAATCACACCCACATTGCTTTTAATCCATGTACATCCCATAACGCCATAGTAGCCATAGTATACAACATGCATATGGATTTCTATTTCTATGACATTTACATAGGATATTACATCCCATATATAGCCATGGCTTTGGTCAGATGTCTTCCCATTTCCCATGGCTGGGATGCCTTCAACATCCGCTGTGTTGCTGCCAGTTCGGCTTCCAGCGCCTGGCTGTTGCCATATGTTGAACATGTCATGCCAGCTGTAGTAGATATGTTCATATATATATATGTATATATGTTATGCAATATAATGTGGATATATGAACTATATCATATAATTATTATATATAATTATATATATATCATGTAGTTTGATACATATATAATTAAATGTGGTTTCATGTGTATATGTATATATATATATGTATGGGTAAACGTTACTAAGTCACTAACCTGGTTTTTTTCGCGACCTTGGCAAACGCCCAATCCAAAGCATCATGCCAATCATCCCAGTGTCGCAAAAACTGCTGTGCATATCCAAGCTACTGAATGGGAAAACATGAGCCGACACAAATGAACTGGTCTAATCATATATGAATATACATATATATAGAGTATAATTACAGGGTAAAATAAAATCTAAACTTGAATTCATTCATTACTTCACCAAAGAGAACACGGACACAGGTGTGAAATGTGACCTCCTCTTTAAGAAGTGATTTGAAGGTTACATGTTCAGTCTTCCAGCAACCACATCTGCTTTTGTTGGGCTATGACCGAAGCCTTATGCAATACCCATCACACGTGCTCAGATCCATGTCTCTTCTTTGTCAGCCCATTTATTACCAGCCCGTGGGTCCCGTCTTTGTCTCTCAACATCTTCTCTTGCTGGTCAAAATAGTATGTAGTCTGGTTAACAATTTCCACTTTGGTTGATTAGATTACCACATCTTACTGTAACTGAGTTATAGATCATCATATTTGTTGGTCAAATAAATGCCAATTGATCCCAGTTTTACTGATGAAATCTCCATTTTTTAGCAAATCTCATCTGCTTGTGATCACCATGCCAGACATTGTGTTTAATAAAGAAAATGTGAAACCACCAAGCAGATCAGTCCATTGTGCTGGTTGGTTAAGAAAAGAACTCCTAGTTCCTAGATGATAGATGATGATCTTCCCCGAGTAAGATAAAGGAATTTTTGCTAATTTCCCCTACAATCAATCAATCAATCAATCGATCAACCAATCAACCAACCAACCAACCAACCAACCAACCAACCAACCAACCAACCAACGAATCATATATTGGATATGTTCCCCATTTAATCGTGGATAAAGCCGCAATTGGCAATAATCCACCCCGGCATAAAACCACCAAACTATCTCCATCACCTTCTGGCAATTTAGCATAGAAAACCACCAACTTCAAAAGGAAAAGCATCAAACTAAGGGGACCACCCTCCGCTGACAAATTACCTCAGTTTACCAGAGGCTAAATGGAAAACCAGCGGCCAGTCATTTGTTTTTTCCGCTAACATACCCCCGATAAGTTTCGATACACCTGACACAACCCCACAAGGAAACCCACCTAGTTCACTGAAGTAGCTGACATTAGCTGACATATTGACACAACCACAAGGAAACTGTGCTATTATATACCCACTTCTTTCACTCTTCAGCCACCCCGGCCTTGATTTGGGCGTCTTGGTCGTTCAGCTTCTGGTGCGTTGCACTCAACGCCTGAACAGTGGGCTTCCCAGCCGAGGCGGGGACGGGAACACAGCCCAACAATGCATGAAAATCAAAATGTGTGTATATATATATATATTATTAATAATAATAATAATACTACTAATAATACTAGTAATAATAATACTAATAATAATACTAATAATAATACTAATAATAATAATGATAATATATATATATAATATGTGTATTTATAGATTATAGATGATAACCGATAGCTACATTTAAAGTGATATGTATATCTATGTAGATGCGGGGCAACTGTTGTTTATCTTTCTTAAACTCGATAGATTTACGCATTTTTTTGCCATTTTGCGCATGACTTTCTTTGCTATCCATCATTTGAAGTGAGGTCAACGATGGTCAACGTTAGCTGCTTTTACCTACCAAAATATATCCCAAAAAATTGACGTTTCAAGCAGGCTAAGCAGCAACAATGAGGATAAAAACCGGAAGCTAGGTGGTGCATGGGCCAAATTATATAACAAGCCAGGTGGTGATTAGCCCATGTATTCAGAATTTCATGCATCAAAATGGGAATTGTAGTTCAAGGTAACTACTCTGGGGATTAGCAGTGACTGTTTCAATGGGTACGTCACCTCAAACCAGGACATGAACAGGCAACTTTGGACATCAGTATTTGGAACGAAGATGATGGACATCTGGCACCAAGAAGGTTTGGGTCAACTATTCGTATTCTGAAAGCAGAGATGACCATCACATCATCACTTTGGCATTCCAGGAATCACCTTCGATCTGGGTAGCATATGGCAGTATCCTGAACTTGGGTCGGAGCATGTTATCAGCTTACTGGACCAACAAAGTTGCGGAGGTCACAAGGGTACCAACAGCATTACAAACTGCCAGTATTGCTGCAAACAAAACCATGGACTTTCCAGAATGTATGCTTGAAGGAACATGAAGGAACCATAAAATTCTGATTCTCTTGTATCCAAACTCCTGACCTTCTGAAATTCTTCTGTAGTCTTTGGCTCCTTCAGGCAAGAGCAGGCTCTTCGTTGGTCAAAATCCATGATTCCCAGTGTGCAATGATGACATGTCGGTGTGCGCCGAATCTCGACAGTCAACCTGCTCCCTACGATATGGGATCTTCCTGTGGTTCAGGCCTAACACGCATCATACAGTTTGCCTAGTTGATGAGCCAGTTCTCCTTTGAAGTTCTAAGGAAACTCGCCATGTTTGAGGATAAATTCTCCGCATGCCTGCAAGAGGGGGCCACTCAAGAAAGAATTAAGCATGTGTAACCCCATCTAACTGCAATTAACATCAATTAACTATAGATATATGATATATATATATATATTATATGCTAACTTTGCTGTAGGGTTCTCAGGTATGCATCCTGAATTCCGAAAAATACGTACGCCATACCGAAAGCAATCACAGCCAACCTGGCAACCCATCAGTGTTTTTTAAAATCTTCCAATGTTCTTGAAATTTGAGTATGCGCCGTCGCGGTCTTTGTTTTTGTTTTGCAGTTTTGGCATTTTTTTGGACTTTTCAGTGTGCTTAAAGTAGTTTTGAAACGTTCTACATATTCCAACTTTTTTTACATTTGCATTTGAAAAATATTTTGTTTTTATTTTTTTTACTATTTTCAGATTTGTTTTCATAATTTTCAGAATCATTTTCGTAATTTCGCTATTTTTTTTTAAACATTTGTTTTCGTACTTTTTGATTTGTTTATGAAATTTTCATAATTTTCAGAATCATTTTCGTAATTTCGCTATTTTTTAAAAACATTTGTTTTCGTACTTTTTGATTTGTTTTTGTGAAATTTTCATAATTTTCAGAATTTTTCATAATGTTAGGAAGTGTTTCTGCGCGATATTTTTGACCTGGGCATGCTTTTTCACAAAATATTGCTTTTTAATTATGCATGCGTGCCTATTTTCTATTTTGGCAGGTCACTGCTATTGCGTATTTATCTGCTGCGAGCTTTTTTTGATTCCATTTCACTTATTATATAAGTGTAAACAAAAAAACAGTATATAAACCAGTAGTGAACCTGCAGTCAGTGCGTGACTGACGGAAAACTAACACACCACCACCCATATGAATGGCGGCGTATGAGTATGAAATATGATTATATTATGGCATGCGTCGCTGCACCAATCGCCAATCACTGGCAGGTCACCGCACATAGTACTGGCGGTACTGGTACGTTCTTTGCAAAGTAGCACCTGAAACCTTAAACCCCGAGTCTCAAGCCTCAAGACTGGAAATTCTTTTTTATTTGATTGAAGAGCCTTCAATGCAGGCTGCGGCTGCGGCTGCGGGGGGATCATAAATCGAATGAATTTATGAAGGGTCTGTGACGTCTGTGACTGCATGTTTTGTTTATAATTGGTCAAGTTTCATGAGGCAGATGAACATAAATGCAAATCACAAAATCCAGTGATGGTTGGCGGCCAAACCGCTCAACCTTCGACAGTTAGTTAGAACATGTAGAATCACAAAATGGAAATAAGATGGCGGCGGTCAAACCGCTCAACCTTTGACACTCACCAAATAAGGCAAGCAAGTTCAAGAAATGTGATATGGTCAGTCAACAGCTCCGCCCAGCGCATACACTTTTTCAGCCAAAGACTCGCATGCGTGTGGCTTGGCTTGGTCAAAAACTGAAACGACCAAACGGGACAAAGGTCGAATGAATCGATCCAGCATCCGCAATCTGAATGGCATGGGATGATGGGATGGTATCTTCTGGGCCTACTGGTTGTCGTCGGCCGTTTCTTTGCGTTTTTTTTCTGGCGACTGATCCCAATCCAACTCACATAACCGTGAGCCGCCCTTGCGAAGCAAAGACCGTTCCGGTTGCACTGTCATGTTTCTGTTGACCCACACGCAATGTGACAGTACGTACAGACACCATGCACTGACTACTGGAAGATGCCACGCATTTCCCAGAAGATGTAGCCGCTGATTTGTCGGCATTTGTTTCAAAAAGCTTTTGATTCGGCAACTTTTGGCTGCAGAGTTCTTGGGCAATGGCACAACGTTGTATCCATGCGATACATAGAGCTCATCTGGGCATACAACACGGCCTGCATGCAAGGCGTACTTAGTTCCATGCGTCAGTAGGCTGGGAATCATGCTTCCTGCAGTGCTCGCACCTGTCACATTCTGATCCAAATCTGCAAAGAAGCTTTGATCAGTCATGCCAGTTTCTGCGTAAATTTTCTCGTAGTTCTCAAGGCGCACCAGCTGGCCTGGTGCAAGGTATTGGTGTTTCTCCAGCTTGGCACCGGAAGTAGCAAACCCATGTCCACGGGCCCGGGCCATCTTCCTCTCCTCCACACTCACATCTTCGTCAGTGCAAACTAGAAATATGCCACCATCAACTTTCATTGACACCTTGAAAAAATCTAAGAAATCTGACAAGATGTCATCACCATTGTCAGGTCCCAGCCATGCCACTTGTGCCCGACTGAGTCCAGCAGAAAACATTCTTTTGCGCCGAACAGGCCACCCGAGCATGGATGGTTCAAGGATTACTGAAAGAACGCGGTGGCTCTCCTCGAGTGGTTTCTGCAGCTTCTCCTCACAAGCATCGGATGCAAGAATATCTGTTACAAACCAAAGCAGCTAAGCTCGACTTGCAAGTCCTACACTACATGAAGAAAAGAATCAAACCCTACAGTCTACAGACATCTACCAAATAAAAACTCACACCCCAAACTTCAATGTTGATAATCTGATCAGGGTTTGGTTTTGTTGTCCACCAGACCCTGGCCCCAGCCCGCAGCCCAAAGACAACATTGAAACACGGCAAGTGATTGATTTCATCATCCATCTAATGTATCTATCCTCACAACTCAACACCCGGCACCGGCCCTGACCCTCACTGTCACCTCTACAGGGTATCTTGGCGTACACTCAGAAAAGAAAAGTGCTTCTTGCAACTCTTCAGCGCGATAACGCCTCTCAGTGACCCAAACAGCATGTGGTCTCTCTGAAGGATCGCTGAAATGCCGGCTCTTACCGGCCGAGCTCCAACCACGGCAAGTGGTTCCAGCAAAGTTCATAACCAACGGTTGCAGCTGGTCATCATCGGGTTGGCAGCTCTCAGGAAACAAGCTACAGCGGCGATTGTGCACAACACACCAATCTGTTGTGGCATTGGGAAAAATTGTATGCCTGTTCTCCATCAAATATCTCTCCATAGAGCGATAGCTGGCTGCACTGGACTCTGCACTGTCTTCAGGCGATGGCATCGCGGCATCCAGCCAAGAAAGTGCATGCTTAGGAAGTCTGCTGTTGATGTCGCACATAACGCAAGGCTCATCATCAACTTCTGTCTGGGCAATCTGTTTCAAAATGAATTGAGAAACTCTGCTGATGTCACAAAAGCGTCTGTGCATCACCGTGAAGTTCACTTTGGGACTCAGAGCTTCTCCCAATTGGAAAAGAAACTCATATTCGCCAGCCATTCCACTATAGTCCGAGTAGACCTGTAGGCCACCAGCGCAAAGAGACCTCACCCGATTCAAACGAACATCATCATTCCCATCGCCTCTCGCAAACAGTTTTTGCACTATTGCCTTTGGCCATGTTGAGAATTCCTCAAAACTGGCCGGCCCCTCAGGAGCTTCACAGTGTTGACACTGTTGCAGTTGCACGGCATTGGACGACTGTGCTGGCATGCTAGACGCCAAACCCAGGGTGAGGCCAGGCGAGGCGGCGAGGCTGAGGCGCACACACAATCGCTTGAATGCCAATTTGTAATCATGTAATGTTATGAATCCATCACACTATCACACTGTGTGAGAAAGTGAGAAGAAGTTCTTTGTTTTTTTATATTAATGCCAATTGATGCACGCAAGGTATGCTGCTGAGCTGCTGGTCCGTGCTCTTTTGCGTTGGCACATGACATGAATGAAAAACTGCACAATCTGCAGTCTGCAATGTTCTCGATCAGCAATCTTGAACCAAACCAAATCCTTATCACGATCTTTGTGAAAATTATCACTCTTACAAATGACAAAGCCACAGATCCTGCAGGACAATTCTAACAACCGCAGCAAAATCACAACGGCCTAGGGTTGAATTTCAACAGGTGGCAAGGGGACAATTCTGATCTACAATCGGATTGGCTACGTCTGCCATTTGATTTGCCCCTTGAGCGGTCACGGCTCCTATCAAAAGTCAGCCCAGCGGCCTCAGGCATCAGCGCTAGACTGCCAGACTAGTGACCAAATTGTCACAGTCTGCTACCTTGAACCGTAGACCTAGCCCCTAGAAAAAAATCCAAGGCTTTCCCTGGACTCTGGATCCTGGACGCACGTTGGAACATGCTAGGGCCAGGGCTTACTTATCGTCCTTTTCCGCATCCTTCTTCTCGTCGTCAACCTTGCTCGCTTCCACGTTCTCCAAGGGAATATTTGGGGATGGAACCCCAGCTGCAGCTGCTTCAGGAGCAACATTCTCGGCCGAAGTTTTGTAGAGCTGGACAACTGACTTCATTTTCGAAGGATCGCGGCCTGAAGCCTGTAACATGTCAATGCAAATCTGGTAGGACTCCATGGCCGCATCATTCTTCAAGATGTAGGACTTCCGGGCGCCATAAAGAAGAATGGAAGACGTACTCTTCTCACACAAAACCATTCCTGGTGGTACAAAAATAACATCATCTTGGCAAATCTGGGCAGCAAAGCCCTTGGCAACTATCGGATCATCTGCCGCCAATGACAAAACGAACTCCGTCATCTTCTCCAGGTTCAAGACAAGTCCCTTCTCAGTCATCCGGTCCGAAACATCTTTGACTCCGAAACAAACGACCCGCATCTCACCAGATGCGAGACACCGAATCATCCCTGCACCGTTTGGAGCGAAGTGAGCCCAAGACCCTTTCGGGTCATACCCAAAATACCAACAGTTCTCCATGAACGAACTTCCTTCTGGAATTTTCGAAATGTCCAGGACTTTCTGACAAGGAAACACTGCTGCCCACAGAGAATCTGCTTCACTTTTGCCTTGGTTTCGAAGAATGGGCGCCATGCTACGGCCATCTGACTTGAACGAAGCTGTTTGCTTGTAGGTCCCACCGAACTCTGACAACCGAACAGAGACATTGGGATGGTTGCGCCATGTCTTGGAGCGCTCGCCTTAGACAAGATCAAAAAATTGCAATGATGTGATGTGTATTGCATGAGAGTAGGGTGGACAAGAAGCAAACAAAATAGGAAACAATGTTGTTGAACATATCAACGTGCTGCAATGAATTCAGTACAGAGAAGAATCTAATGCATGTATGACTCGGAGTGGGAATTTTCCAATTAGTTTCGGATTGTCCTGACGTGTAACAGTTAACTGTACTGGAAACCCTTTTCGGGGGGCCAAAAACGGGCTGCAAGGACACTTGTTGAAATTCAGTTCAAAATGGAAAATTGCCAACTCAGAGTCTCAGAGTCTCAACCAAACCAGAAAATAAAGAATACATAATATTCATCATATCATCTGCCATGCGAAAAATCTAACTGTATATAATTCAAGTTGCAGGATTTCCAGATCCATGGCTCATTGAGGTTCTCGTCCACGGACTGCAGCTTGGATCGATCATGGAAAGGACGAAACATCTTCTCGTCGATGACAAAAATGGGATGCCCTTCAATCTTGCCTTGCTTCACCTTTTGGGCCTGGGCCTTCGCTTCTGCCCTGCGAGCCTTCGTGGCCCGACTATCTTCGTCCCTCTTTTTCTTTTCTTCATTTCTCCTGGCATTACGTGCCTTTTGGTTGACATAGCTTGTCACATCATTGGCAATTCTCAGAAGGGACTTCTGAAATACATCCTGCACTGCCCAGGTGTTTTTCATATTGAACTCAAATTGCACAAGCCATGTTGGAGAGGTTGCAGTCATCACGAGGTGGCGACAGAATTCGCACATGGCAAGGCTCGAAATCTCCGTCTCACCATTGCTAAGCCTCACCTGCGACTCTGCCTTCTTCAAGCAATCCAAGAAATACTCTTGCTTCTGATGAACTGCAGGTGGCGTCGGCACTTTTTCACCTTTCTTATCCTTGTCCTTGTCCTTGTCATCTGGTTGCTGATCTGATCCAGATTCCAATTGCTCAAGTGAAACGGGCTCAAGCCAGGCCGCACAAATATTTAGGCAAGTCTCAAGAAGCGTAGTGTAAGAAGAGAGCACATCATTGCCGGAAGACTTTGACTTTTGTTCCTGGTCCTGATCTGAAGAAAAAGCTTTCCGCAACTTCGCCTTGGCCTCATTGAGTTTTTCACATGCGATCTGCATCTTGTCCTTCCGTGCCGTCAAACCTTCTGAGAACTTTTCTGCCAAGCTAGCCCGAAAGGAGCACACAGCAGCTGGTCCGCCAAGAAGTTTGGCAATCTTGGCATCCATTTTCTTCTCTTCTGCTGTTTTCTCCGGAGTGGTTTCCGGCGGTGAATCCTCTTGCTCACGCTTTACCTTCGTAGGCGTAACTGTGTCATCCTCATCTTCTTGAATGACATCTTCACTGAAGAATCTGTCATCAACACTGTTTGGAACACCGCTTTTCATAACTTGATCAAGCATCAAGTCCCTGTCCGCATCGCCCAAGTTCTTTTCCGCTGTGCTGGTTTCCACACGGCTTGTACTTTTCCTCCTGCCGAGGGGTCACAGTCACGCTGCTCAAAAAAACATGAGTCACATTACATGATTTTGTTTTGCCTGCGGTAAAACCGCGAAGCATCAAATCAAATGCATCAATTCTTGAATATCCGTTGCTAATCCACAAAAAATTCACAACTTCATCGCATCAGTCAAGCTGCTCAAAAAAACATAAGCACAACCGGCCAGCGAACCTTTGCCTCTAACCTGGCCTAGGAATCTTCTGGACATATTCACTGGGTTCTTTCAAATAAGACTGCCAAGACATAGCTAGTCTACAGTCCACAGGTTAGCAATCCTGGCCCGGCCACAGGCCACAGCCACCACCCAAACCATGTCCTTTCTACATCCTCAGTCTTCATCTCGACAACTCTTATCCACAAACGCAAAGATCCTTCAAGGCCCAAACTGTCTCTGTGAACAGACGTGTCTTTTGCATGCTTTTCCCACTCCGTCAAGCACTGCTGTTTGGACCAACCCATTTTGTGCATACCTCTTTGGAGCCATTGATTTTTTTCAAAAGGCTTGGCACCTCGGCGATCACACTGAACGATTGCCAAAGAATGCTCCCTCTTGAACTGGCTCCACTCAATGAACCGCTTTCGGGCCCATTTTCCATCGACTGGATTGTCGTCACTGAACCGATTGAAGGCTCGCTCTGCCTCAATTGCATTCGACATGACCTTGTTGAAAGCATCAGTTTCCTTGTCCTTTCTTGCATGGTAGCTCATTGCATCAAACATGCGATTGTGATTAGGGCACCACCTTTTGCCCTTGACACATTCCACATTGCAACTTCCTGCAAAGCAAGTCTTTGCAGCAGCGCGTTCACCAACGCCTGCTTTGGCAGTTCTCCTTCGTTTCCGTGGTGCCTGCTGTCCTTCTGACTCTTGAACTTCTGGAGCTTCATCATCACCATTGGGTTCTGATGCTTGTCGCTGAAGGTGCTCATCAAACACCCCTTCTCCATCGAAGTCCATTGCTGCAAATTGCGCTAGCAATTGCTTATGAAAACCGGTGCAAATACTTGTGAACGCAACATACCTCAAAATGTTTGTCGATTTTTGGATGATATTCTGCTGCTGATGGGTGCTAAAGACATCCTAGCTAGTTTTTCTGCCAAAATCCAAACTTTCGCAGGAAGCCAAAAACTATCCACACATAGGCTCAAATGCTCGAAATTGCTCGAAATTGGAGCTTGTAAGCTCGAAATCTCTAAGCTCGAAAAAGGCATATATTGACTTATATTGATTTGGCATATTTTACAATCTCGAAATAGGTATAGTTCACTGCTTGTGTCTCCAGGGAAACTTCCCGAGACAGAGAACATGCGACGACGACATGCGCAAACTGTTTTTTTCTGCTGAAGATCTGACCAAGCTGTCAAAGCTGTCAAAGTCAAAGCATCCCGAAGCTTTGAAATGCTGATGACCATTTGGATCAAAAGCCCGAAGATTGCGAGTAGAAGGCAAAACTCTTCGTGGCCTCAAATAGTCATTGAACACAATGTTCTCAACCAGCTCAGCAGCTTATCTAGGCGGCAGACCCATTGGCATTGTCTGGGTTCTTCTCATCCTTCTTCTCGTCATCACCACTGCCGGACTCATTCGAGTTAGAATTGCCAGGCTTGGCCTTAGCCGCCTTAGCCTCAGCCTCAGCCGCCTCAGCCTTCTCAAGCTCTGCTGTAAGTTCTTCGTCAATTTTCATGTTGTAACTGTTGATGGCATCCTTGGCCAGAATCTCCGCTTTCTCAGCAGCAGACTTGACGACGATGCTCTCGTCCAAGACAGCCTTGAACTTGTTGTGGATATCCTCACTTCCACCATTGGGGTGCTCACAAAGGCACGAAGTAAGATCCTCCAGCGACGCATTCAGCTTCGTCTCACACTTCTTCATGTCATCCATCAAGTGCTCATTGTCCTTTTGCGGAACATCTGCCCGCAACTTCCTTATCATAACAAGGGCACTGAGCACTGTACTGTGCAGGTTGATGATTGATACTGTATCTTCATCATCATGTCATGAATATCCCAAATTGAAAAACTATGCTTTGGTAAATCTACTATGAATCTGAATCCACAAAATCGTTTGAACATTGTATTGTATCAAGAAACCGCAGCTTCGAAGACAACTTCTCCAATTCCTTAATCTGCCTTTTCATGAGTCCACGAGAACTGTTGCAAACCTGGTCATAGTTCACCACGAGTCCGGGACCACCCTTGGCATCTGCTGCTCCAGGAAGTGCCTTGTTCTTCGGGGCACTGGAAGCAGAACCTGTTGCATTGATAGACATCTTCTCACTCGACCCAACCTTTTCCTCTGCACATTCTTCGGACCATTCGTAAAGCTTCATGCCTTTCTCCTGCAGAGCTTGGACATAGTGATCCTTCTGCGGCAAGGTATCCAAAGTAGCTTCGAAAAGCGCATTGGCATCGGCATCCGCCTTGATCTGAGCAGGCGATAGGCCAAGCTTCTGCATGATCTGGAAGGAGTTCAGCCACTCAGACTTCTTGGCCACAGCATTGACAGAAGTATAGTCCAAGGAATGAACCATACCTTAGCTGAATCGAAGTTCTTCAAATATACACATGACTGACACTGACACAGAAAAGGTTCCATGTGGTGGAAAATAGTATACAATCATTCAAGCAATCAAGAAACTCGGCACCCAAGACATGCTCTTATCTCCGCGAAATTTGTCCAAAACCATTTGCCGGTTCAGCTTGAGCTGCTGCAAGGCCTCATCTGCTCCAGCAACTCCACTTTTGGACCTGTACGTGAGTTTGCTGTGCAGGAGGCGGTACTCACCCAACTCGTCCTCCGTCATACACTGTGGTTTTGGAGAAGAGGAAGAGGCACGAGGAGCTGACTTAGCCTTCGCCTTTGCCTTCGGCTCAGACTTTGGTGCTCCGCGCTTACCCATCGCAGACAAAAAATCTCAATGGATGAGATGTATGCACAAATACCTTGTATTAAAATGTCTTGATCCAAGAACAACGTGCATTGCATGACGCTTTGATGCAACATCACAAAAACAAAAACATTTTTTGACTCATCCAATGATTCAATGAATGCACCCGCAATTGTTTGCAACTACAACCATATGAATCACTTGATGGCCAATGGCTCCTACATTACCTACTATAGACTGTAGATACAAAAATTGATTGAATCTTTTGTTTTTGCCTGCGGTAAGACCGCTAGACAAATAATGGAATGTCTGCAGTGTGCGGTACAACCGCTACACAAATGTAATGTGATGCATGTTCAAAAAATTTGGTAACAAGCTGTTTGGTTCTGCTGCGGTGCAACCGCAAGCAGAAAACAATAAACTGAATATAATCAGTACATGATTCAAAACAGAATACTTACCAAACTGATGCTGACATCAACAAGCCTTTTTTTCATAACTTTTAGATCTTGCAAGTCTCCAATGAGTCCAGTCTCCAGCGCAACGATCCACATCCTTAGACAAATCAATGCATCATGCAGACAAACTTTATGGATACTCAAAAATTGTGATACTGGTTTTGTGAAGTTTTGTGTATGTACCTGTCAGACAGGTTTTGGCTTATACATTTGTTGTGAGAATCGTATGAAGATTCTAAATTTATGAAAATTCTGAAATTTATGAAAATTTTGAAAATTATGAAAATTCTGAAATTTATGAAGATTCTGAAATTTATGAAAATTCTGAAAATTATGAAAATTCTGAAATTTCTGAAAATTATGAAAATTCTGAAAATTCTGAAAATTATGAAAAATCTGAAAATTATGAAAAAAATAAATTTCAATACTAAAACAAATTGAATATTGTTTTCATAAATTTCATAATTTTCAGATTTTTCAAATTTTCAGAATTTTCAGAATTTTCATAATTTTCAGAATTTTCATAAATTTCAGAATTTTCATAAATTTCAGAATTTTCATACGATTTTCGTTCAGGCATGATTTTCAAGCATATTTTTCAAGCAAAGTTCAAAATATTAAGTAGTAACCAGTCACTGTACTCAGAATCAATGCATGCAATTTCACATATATACAACTGATGCCACTCACACAGCATTATATTTTGGCCAAAGGGCAACTTCTCTAAGCTGCAGGATTGGCGGTCTTCTTCCTCCGCTTTCCTCTAGGTTTGTCAACGCCATGTTTCTGCCGATAGTCCTCCCGGTTGGACCTCAACAAATATAAATATACAGTGCTGTTAACATCGTCAACTTCAAAAAATTCTAAATCACCCAAAAGCTGTGATTGCATACAATATCATGGCGTGGCAAACACAGCAAACAAGGCACATTCTTCTGCATGAAGGTCTGGACTTTGGAAGCGCTCCAGGAGTATCAGGAATCCTAGATTTTTTGTTTCGATATCAAATGCTTCACAAACCATTCAATATTTGAAATGACATTTCAGCAAAGTCTCTCCGTATCTGAAGGCTCAGGATGTGAAGATGCAGATGGGCCATGCCCAGAATGAGACTCATGAGTGTGTGTCCTTGGATAGCAAACAATGCCAGCATACTTGATCAGAAAAGCAGTTTCACTCTACAGCGCAAGCAAGCAAACTTGCCGAATATTTAATATTTTTTTAGTGCCTACTCTTGGTGCAAAATGAGAATCTGCCCCATCTGATCTGCTGTCTCCTTCTCATCTGGCACTGGCACTGCAACTGCAATGCCAGTCTCATCATTTTTGGCAGATGTCGATGTCGATGGGTGCGACTCCGACGCTTTTACATCCCTAAGATCAGAAGATTGCAATGCCACGACATGCATGGCTAGAAAAAATCGCAACATGAAATGAAATAACTGCACAGCTTAGGCAAATGTCACAGTCACAGACCGCATTGTAGCTGTATGAACAAGATACGCAACAGCAACACCACTGGTGGCATCTGGTGGAGCATGTGGATCTGGTGGAGGCTGCACATCTCCAATCCTTCCGAAAGAAACAGAAACATATTACAAGCTATGGCACGAATCTGAACTGCAATGAAAAAAATATTCCTGAACATAAGACATCCATGACCCATGAAATGCATCTTCTCTCAACTCTATTCAACACCAAGTGTCGCCGTTGTACTGTCAGCTTCATCGAATCCTGAAAGGAGCAGTGGCCCCGAAAAACACGGTCCAAGAAAAACGTATTTCATTAAAGGCTGACGCCTGACGCTGTAAGTGAGTATACTCAACTCAGCTGTCAAACCAAGTCCAACCAAGAAGCTTCTGGCATTTTGTCTCTGAAGTTGGGCACTGGCAATGCCGCTAGGGCCGCTACCACTGTTATCCTTTACCGGAGTCGGCAGCCTGCAATGAAAAAAATCTTTGTGTGAAATATCCACAGCGCTGCAACACATAACTAAAAGGAATTTCCATCATTGCAACCTCAAATATTACGCAATCCCGCCTTGTTGGTGACCGTGTCTTTGATGCTGACCGAGTCTTCTCCGATCTTGTTCTAGTACTTCTTCCACGACGTTTGCAGCTACTTTTCGCATCTCTTGAACCCTTGGACTTGGACTCGGACCTTGTCTTCTTGCCTTTCTCCTTCTTATTTTTTCTTTTCTTCTTAGACTTTCTCTGGCTCTTTTTCTCATCTCTGCTGCGAGCTATTTCCTGTCTCACTATCTTCTTCAACGACCGCACTCGAATCGAAAAATTGATAGTGTAGCTCTGGCTCTCTGTGCTCTCCTCACTGTAACTGTTGGAGTTGCCTGCATCATCTGCGGGACGACGAGACATGCTCAGATCCGCAGGAATGTCTGTGCATAATTGCCTGGATTACCATTTACATATATACATACATATATATATTTATTTATTTATTTAAATATATATATAAATGTATACATATATATATACATATATATATATATACATATATATATATATATACATATATATATATTTATATACATATATATATATATACATATATATGTATATATATATACAGGTGTAAATGTATCATTGTCATTATCACTATGTACCTATGTTGCTATATTCCATTTGTAATTAATTTGCTTGTTTGTTCCTTCCCTGAAAGCGTCAAATGTTAGTCAGTGTTATCGTGTGACAACATTTTATGTTTACTACATTGTTATATGGAGAAATGGTAGTACTTGAATCTGATGTCTGATTGTGCATATTTTTACCAACTAAAACATCAACTACATGCTGGACAAAACGGCGACAATGTGAATCACATGATTCTGTTTTGCCTGCGGTAAAACCGCGAAGCATCAAATCAAATGAATCTATTCTTGAATATCCCTTCCTGCTAATCCACAAAAAAATCACAACATCATCACATATGCTCAACCATTCTTTAAAAACGTTTGACGAATATTTACGATTTTTTACGAATTTTCATAATCAACACTGCTCGAAGTTGCTCGAAATTGCTCGAAATTTGCTGCTGATTTTTTTGATGGAACTTCAAAATCCTCAAGTAGAACCAACAATCCATTAGTTTCTCCTGATGAAGCCACGACAACACTTCCAAAGCGGAAAACGATCAGAGTGGCAATTTGCCACTTTGCTTGGCCGCCCCGGAAAACGGACCCCACCAAGTCCCCCGAAAAATAGCTTTTTCCTGAGTTTCCCAAAGGAAATTTGATACTTGGTGGGGTCCGTTTTCCGGGGCGAACCCAAGTGGAAAATTGGCAGATCAGAGGCACCTTTTTCTCAAGTTGCGGTGAAATGTGCGCAGCTGATCTACGTTACGTTTGTTTTAGAAATCTGCTGCAGCTCCTTCTTGTCAGTCATCACAGCTTCTTTCAGTCCATCCCGGAACAAGCGATAGAGATCCTTTTCGGACATCTCGGGGTACATGTTTTTCATCTCTTGGTAGCTGAGATGCCGAGTACGAGTCTCCACAAAGCGCTGCTTCGAATCTCCTGCTTGAACTGCAGCTGCAGCAGCGTTTACATCATTCTGAAGGTTCGCATCCATGTCGGCCGTAGGGAAAGGCAGATGTCAGCAATGACGAGTCAAGCACATATCGAAAAAACTTGAACACAAGACAGCAACGGAACCTGCTGCTACTCATCTGCGGTCATACCGCAAGATGCACAACACTGAACGCCAACAAAGCTTGAAAGTGCACCTGGAAGAAAATTTCCTTTGACAGGGATCACTATCACTACTCCTTCTACAAAAACAGTATTCTTATTGACAAAAATTATTTCCTTTTCTAACAAAGCGGTTGCACAACTACTGAGGTACACAGAGTTACTTCTGGACAAAATTCTGACATAACGTGGCGTAAATATGAAACATTAAACAGCCAGAAATAGTTTCCAGGCAGTAGCTGAGGTTTGCCTGGAAACTTTTGTTGACATAAAGTGGCGTAAATATGAAACATACGAACTTATGTATATATAAACATCGCGCTATCCGTCAAGAGTTCGAGCTTACTCATAAGGACTTTCAACCCACGTCTGTGGGCCACATCCAAAGTGTTTCATCTTCTTACATATTTCATAAACCATCTCAAGTTCATGTCAACTATCAACTTGTCAACTATGTTCCCATCCCCCTTCAAAGTGTATGAAACGGACCCCACCAAATTGGCAATGCCTTTGTAGTGTTAGTTTTCCACTTGGGTTGGTCCCCCAAAAAAGCCCCCCACAAGTCCCAAAATCTTTCATAAAATAAAGGGAAAAACACTGTTTTTTGGGGACTTGTGGTCCCAACGAAGCATGGAAGTGTCTGTGGGGGAAAAATCTGATCACGTCTACACCGTCCACAGTCCACACAAGCACCTTTTCTTGAAGTCTTGAATCGCTCAGACTTGCTTGTCCAAACTGTCAGAAGATGGCAAAGTGTTGTTTTTTTGAGCATCGCAAACTTCTTTCCATATCCTCTTTTGGTGGTCATCCTTCGAAACAGCATTTTTTCCCCACAAAGCCCAAGTCTTG